CGGGTTATGAGTAATATTGTTCTGTTTTGGGAATAGAACTTCCGGGTAGTGAGTGCTATCGTTTTGTTTTGAGAATAGAACTTCCGGGTTGTGAGTACTATTGTTCTGTTTTGGGAATAGAACTTCCGGGTTGTGAGTAATATTGTTATGGTTTGGGAATAACCAAGGGGGAAACAGCAGAATCCATGAATCCACTTGAATCCAAGGGACTGGATTCTGCTGTTTCCCCCTTGTTCCGATTACTACTCGAATTCCGGAATTGGAAGGAATTTCTGGGAATTGCTGGTAATTCGGTCTGAACTCAGTTCCGGGTATTCCGGAAGTTGGTGGAACCCGATCAATGCGGAATAGGTCTCCAAATGCTGAATGATGATCGTGTTCCCGGAATTATATGGAACTGATTCCGGTGGCGGAATAGGATGACTGCTGACATATACTCATGTATCCTATTCCACAACTTGATCTCCTCAAATCGACACATCCCAACTTACTTCACTCTTATCTACACTTACCGTCAACTACACCCTCAATCCGCTGACTCTCACTCTCGAAGTCTACGCGACTCTTCCAGTTTTATCGCCATAAGAAGCACCTGATTGGTTTCGAAAAAGAGAATTTTGTTGTTGCTTTGAATCAACAAAGTCATGTTTCTAGGGTAAATGAAATTATCAAGAACTGTAGATGATAACGATCATTGTCATTGCATTCTTCGCAAATTAATTCTCTGTGCTAGATGAAAAGCCTATCCATAAATGCAGGAAGTTAAAGTTTGATTTGTACAGCATTTTTACAAAGCGAGTGCCTAATTTTCATAGAAACGATCTGTAAACCAATGTTCAATCGAGTTCACATTCATCAATCATTGTAACTTGAGCGCTATTGAATATAAAATAGTGTCTCATTGACGTGCTTTGCCATTTCGATGATCAGTCAATTAATCTAAATCTAAATATTTTAAATACTATTCATAAATACAAAACCATATTTCATAAGATTGGCACTCCTATTGATAAGTATTCTTGCGTACATATTTTTAAGACATTTTCTTTGTCTACCATCACTCTAATTTAATCGAACTAATTGTGCAGTTATATTTTTTCTCAAAGTTATCACGTATTTGCATATTAAGTACGTTTTTACCATTTGTTACATATAGATTAACTGTCGTATGTCAGATCGGGATAGCTGTCGGTTCTGAACTTGTTATATTCACTTTGAATTTTTCAATAAGGCTTTAGAGACAACATCAAAGCAGTAGCATCGATATCGAATCAGAATAATGAACCCATTGTAACCTGGTTTAGATAAATGGCTTATTACCCTGGATGATTGGATTACTTGTACCACGGCTCATTTTGAGTCGAGTAATGATATTCGGATTAATTATCGATTATCAGATGATGAACTCGATGAAGATGAGCTGCTAACACGAGCGAAATATGCTTGGAATATCGGACAACATGAAGAGCAACACAGAAACAAAGTACCTCTATTGATATTTTGTTATGACTTGAATTCATCTGCACGGTTCATGGCTTTAGTTCGAATAAAATAAATTGCAACAGCGAGTATTAAAAATTTTCTAGTTGTTCTCAATCAAAGTCAAGATAAACAATATCGAAAAGGACTTAAACGTAATCAACATAGTATATTGCGATTCGACGAATATTTATCTTGTGTAATTCAAGATCCAAATGTAGACTTTATCTACTTCAATTGGATTCCTGAATACATGAAAGAGCACTTTGAAGAAAAATTGGTTAGTTGAACGGTCGTCTGTTCAGTACGAATGTTGCCATTCATTATGGTGGATGTACTCTCAGTGCGATTTGTAATCATTATGGAGGCTATGAAGGTTTAGAATACAAAGATGAAGAATTACTCGGTCTATGTATGATCAAGAAGTTACTACCAGTTTATATAGTAACTAGCACGCGAGATAATTATTTGAGAAGTTGTAAGAAAACGAAAAGTTTATTTCAACATGTTAGGTGTTCTATAAAAATGGAAATAATGAACGATAGAGGACATCGTTATTATGTGGATAAAGAAACACATATCTGACAGTTTTTAAGTTCACATGGAATTAATAACAACAAATAAGTATTGCACTAATGAGGAAACATTTCCAAGTGTCTGAGCACTTTTGAGTCGGTGTTTTGTGCATCTTGTGGATCTTAGTGAACTATGTCTACTATAAAACAGTTTATCGAACGTTGTTACTATTAGAAGCAGAAGATTTATCTTATAAAAAAAGAAATCATCATATCAGCCAATATAAATTGAAACGAGCTGAAGTTTTCTTCAAGTATAGTTGTACTTAATCGGAAGATCATGTGACAATATGAGTACACAGCAGCTAAGAACAACAGAGCTATCAATGTTAGAAAATAAAGTAATCTCTTTCAGATAAGAAGGATGAAAAGTTTTCTATGAAAATAAATGCACCACATGACTGTCAATGAATAAAATGAACTCATGCTATGTATTTAAAGTACCATGTCCTGATCTGTCATATAATATTTATTTTGCTCCTTTCTAGCGGAAATGACTAACGAGTCTCTGCATTGAAGAATCTGATTGAACAAATGCTAGATAGAAAAAATATCTGATTAGCTGAAGCTATCGTATAAAGTGCAGTCATCTTCCACAGTTTGTCTAATGTGTCAGAAATATACGAGAGCACTTGACTGTACACATAGCGGTCAACAAACATACATATAAACCCTTTTTAATTTTTTTCATGCCATTCTTCTTCCAACCAAGGGAATACAAATGAAACAGAAAAACGAATTTTTGTCTTTTTTTTTCATGCATTCCATAAGGCCGTACGTGACTCAAAGAAAATTTCGTTTTGAATGATATTGACATTATTTGAACCAAAGTTCATTATTCCATTTTAATTCAATGCTATCGCAAAACAGACCAAGAAGAAAGCCTACTAACTTAGTTTATTTTATATGGTCTCCTTTTGGTGCAAGAAAAACTTATTACTTTCGTGACAACAGCCCTTTTTCTTGATGAAAAAATCAAACTGAAAATCTCGTGAAACTGATTTTATAAATCACAGCAACACATACGAACATGTGATTAGACACATGCATGCAAACATAGAAAGTCATTTTATTTCATATGACTTTTCCTTCAGTCAACAGAAAAAACTTATAGGCTCATCTAAAAGTTATCCAATCTATCTAATGGTTAATTATTTCTTCAATGGGCATCTTTCATTGCTCAAGGAATACGTTGGAAATATAAAAACTACGTCGTATAAAAGTCTTAAATCTTCAAAAACAAGCATAAATTCAAAATTCATTTAAAGTTTTATTAAATTCATGCACGTACTTTTAGCAAAAACTTAAACTACTTAATCGAATAATTTTTCATATTTGAAAAGGTAAAAGTACGAAGTTTAGGTTGTTGTATTAAAGTGTATGTACGACAAGTATAAGTACGAATACTTTCGTTCGAGGTCTGCTCCAGGATATAATCTGTCACTAATGCATTCTTCTCTTTGTTCGCAAATACTTGATGACTCAATTCGATAAGAATTATAGTAAAACAGGATTTGACATTTATATTTTTCTGAATTATTTGGTTAGTGATTTCGTTTTTATTGTCATTACGACGATCTTTCAAACGTCTATCTCATATAGTCAATATTATGATCTAATGCTGACGAATAAAGCCCATGAATAGATTATATTATTAGAAAAGCTTCGATTTTACTGAAGATATCGACACTTTATCGGGAAGAGTTGGACATACGCACAAATATCGATAATCTTAAACAATTCATAACAAATATGAAATGCTTAAAAATCAATCTCTGTGGGATTTTCTCATCATAAATCTTCATCAGTCCTTAGCGAATCGTAGCTTCTTGCGAATTGTATTTTGATTGAGATATCTCAATGTTTTTTTTCCTAAAATCATTTTTTCAACGAATAAAATTACCGTTATAATCTTAGCAAAAGATAAACAAACTGGAGTAAGTCAACACTGCAATATTTTTCAAAAAAGATGAATGTATAGTATAGCCAGACTGATTGATAATTATTCATGAATGAAGTAAAGTTGTTGTTGACAAACAAAGAAGAAAGTTTTGATAATCAATAAAAGGTGTGTCCTGGGTATTATTCGAAAGATCATTGATGACGTCAATCATTACAATGCTCTAGATATGATCGAGCATGTTGTTCTTTAGACCGTCCATTGTACCGTAAATAACAAATCGAAGCTTGTCATTTCATTAGGATTAAATCAGCTACTAATGAATAAAATTTTGAAAAGGACACAATACAGAAAAGATCTATAGACCTTTGCTAAAGCACGAACAGAGGTTGCTTTAAATTGAGTCGCATATTCATCTCTTATTTAAGACATTGCTCATCAATCGACAGTGAAAGATTGAAAAACAGGTGAACGAACTTTTACGAAAAGACAACAAAATCGAGATTCATCCAAGAAATATGACTCAAGGTAATCAGATCTCCTTAGAAAATGTACTTAAACGTTGTGGTGACTTTCGTCGATATCAATGGATTCATTACATATTTTTGAATCTGATTGCTATTAGCACCAGTCTTAATGCTTATTACTATGTATTTGGAGTTGCCGAGCCACCATTCCGTTGTCGACTTCCGTTGACAACGTCGTCTGATGAAGACCAATTTCAATCGATTAATATGACTCATCAATTATTCATCGATAATCGGCAATCGTCAACGACTTGTTGTGAAACTATTAATCGAACAACATGCACCGATTTCATGTACGATCGATCAGTGTTTGGCAAAACATTTACAGAAGAAGCCAACTTAATTTGCACTCATGCTGTGAAACGTACTTGGCTTGCAACCGTACTTCAAATCGGAGCGTAAGACATCAATTCATTTCTGAGTAATGCATCATATCTCATTTATTATGTAGATTTACCACATTGATTAGTGGATCGATTGGCGATAAGATTGGAAGAAGAAAAATCATTCAAATACTGACAATTTGGGAATTTCTTAGTACTTTTGTTACTCTGCTGTTGCTGCAATTCGTCTCCATGTCTGTCAATGTGAAGTAAGTGTAAAAACAAAAGCCATACCACTGATCGAAATAAAAAGAAACTCTATCTTAAAGATTTGGTCTCTTGCTATTCAGCCAATTAGTGTCAAGTACAGGAGCCTTTAGCATGACTTTTCTTTTACTCATGGAGTTGACTTCATCTAAATATACTACTCTGGCAGGCAATCTTGCATTGATCAGTTACACACTAGCCGAGATATTTATTACAATCTTCGCTTATTTGGCTCATGATTGGCTCAAGTTGAAATGGTTCAATAATGGTTTCTACGCTCTTACTCTTTTTTATCTGTACTTTGTACCTGAATCACCTTATTGGTTGTTCAATCGAAAGAAGTTCAGTCAACTCGAGACTTGTTTACGTAATATTGCTACAACCAATGGTCGCGCAGATACAGAATGGTTTCCTTTCTTCGAAGAATTAATTAAAACTTTACCAGTGACCCACGAAACTGCCAAGCCTGTCATAACAAAAACGAGATTCAGCCGACATATTTTTCTGCGACTAGGTGCCAGTGGTTGCATTGGATTTATCACTATGCTATTGTATATTAAAATATCGTATGGACTCGCTACAATGGATAGCGCTATAAATCCTTACTGGAATATTATCCTAGGAGCTGTCGTTGAAGCCATTGGTTACGTATCTGCGAGTATTCTAATGATCACTCGTTTAGGTAGAAGATTTTCTCTGTTATCTTATGCACTATTGACATCAGTGTGTGTTATTGTCATTCCATTTGTTAAGGAAACTCATCCACTTGTGGTTGTTATAGTTTCACAAATAGGTAAATTGACAATTAGTGGAGCAGTGTCTGTCTCATGGATCTATGTTCCAGAACTTTTTCCAACCTCGAAGCGTGGCTTTGGTAATGCAGTTTTGGTGTTTTTTGGCCGTTTAGGTGCTATTTTAGCACCAATTATTGATGTCGCTCTCGGTGACCGATATATTCGAATAACATTTTATGTTTATAGTGTACTGGCTCTGGTTATAGTGGGACTACTCTTCATACTTCCAGAAACACGCAATCGATCATTTGATAGTCATAACGAAGATGATGCTAAATCGGTTGTATCGAACACTTATACCAACGAGATTATGATTGAAGATTCGATAGATAATCGTTCGATTCACTTTAAGGCTGTTTGAACATGTTCGGAATAATAAGATGTTTACCATAGCAACAAGATAATGGATAGATGTCTTCGGGATTGTTATAAACCGTTTTATAATAAGCTATTTTTTCATTTGAATACACACCTTACGAGGAAACATTATTAGATGCCAATTCTCTTTTGAACCGAGACTTTTGAAGAAGGGTCACTAACTGTTCAATCCCTTTGGCGTTAAGACTATGTGCAATATGTAGATACGAATGAGTTATGAATATCCTGAAAAAAAGCTCGGGTGATTAGCTTATTGCTACGTAGATGCTTCACTTTTACGCTATCTCTTTAGATGAATGCCGCGGTCTCTTTCAACAACATTAGAAAAACTGATTTTCGAATTTCGACTTGAAACTTTACATTGAAACAAGCCTTAGTAGGAATAGCTCTTTCTAAATGTTTCAGATCTGGTTACTTTTCGTATGCACAGATACAAATATAGTAACAATGTGTCTTTTGCCTTATTCAGATAGACCAGCAGCTTTGGTGTTCTCATTTCAAGATATAAACAAATCAGAAAATCTAAAATATTCACAAAAATCTATTCTCGTTACGACCTGTTTCTATGTAAAGTTCCAAGTCGAAACTCGAAAATCAGTTTTTCTAGTGTTCTTGATGGGAACCATGGCTTTTATTTAAAAAATACTGTAAAGGTGTAATATCTCCGTAGAAATTAGCTAATCGCCCGAACTTTTTTCAGGCTATTCATAACTCCTTTAGACCTACATAATGCACATAGTCTCAACACAAAAACGATTAACTGTGTGGCTCGTATGAGTAATATATTCACTGTGTCAATTAAGTATCTGTATTTTTATCGTAAGTATACTAATATCATTAACAATGCATCTACAATATTAGAATGACATATTTAACGAATTTGTTAATAAAGTGCAGCATCTTTAAGATCTATCTCAAAAATGAACAGCATCTATTCAACATCTGAAGAGTTTTGAGAGGCTCAGATACCACTCTATCATCCTTGACTTTTATACAATAAAATAACAATCGGTTCGATCGCCATTTGTTCCAATTTAAAAAACGTTACCTGACTGTTTTAATTACGTGAGAACTCATGATTAACATTCCTTATAGAAATTATTTGAAAGCTTTTACTACACGAAAAGAAAATAGAATTTGTAATAAACAGAAGCATGATAAATTGACTTTGGAAATTTTTATTTAGCAGAATACTCAGTCAGTTTTCAAGTAAGATGTTAAATGAAAATTTCAGAGCAAAATTTAATGACAGATTACGTGCATGAACTTTGATGTACTTGAGAAATCTGTTTGCTACATCGGAATCGTCTCGTCATCTATTATTCCGAAAATAGATTCCATGGGATCTTTGTATTTTACAAATCCACAAGCTGGTTGTGAGAGTCCATAACCAAGTACACGTAATTCCGCTGGGCTCAATTGAAGTTCTTTGCAGCGTTCAGGTGGTACCATCAGATATTCATTTTCAGCTTGCCGATAAAATCCCTTAGCCATGAATATACCTGCAGTTTCACGTCGCTCATCTAGAGTTGTATTAGATCCTCCAGCATGGTACAAATTTCCAACAAAAATAGTCGCATCACCAGGCTCTAATTCGGCGGGTACAGCTTCTTCTACTAGCGGTGCTCGATCTTCGTTTTCCCACAAATGTGAACCAGGAATCACTATAGTCGCTCCATTATCCTTGTGAGTTCGAGTTAGAGCAATTACACAGCCTATCATCATCGGCCAATCACAAGATCGCGTATGAAAATCGTTATCGTCACGATGAAGTTCTTGTTGTTGACCGCCAGGATTAACACGAAAGCCGACAGTAGACGAAATGATAGGTTTGGAGTGAACAGTTTTCTTTTGTGTACCTAAGTAAAAAGAATATGTCGATGTGAGTAATCGATTGGCTACAGCCAAAAGCAAAGGATGCATGGCCAAGTCGACACAAGCTCGTGAAATGGCAAAGAAGCCTGTGGCCCGTTGTGTGGTCGAAGGAAAAAAACCTGATTTATCGACAACATCAGACTCAAAATGTGGTGCTAGATCCTTTTGCACTTGTTCAACATGACTCGTTGAATACATTCCAGTAACAATTACCACACCATCTCGTCGAAGACATTCTAAGATTTCATCTTCGATATTTTCCTTCGTTGCTGGTATTCGTGCGATATTTATTGTTGTAGCAGACATGGAATGAACGAGAAAAAGTAACAGAAAAATTTCTGTTTCTTCAGCTTATGTTTTTTATAAAACACTACTATCTTAAATAGTCGCACGGTTTTATTTAAGACGATAAGAACAAAAAACTTTAACTTATCATTGTTGACATGTATCGTATGCAGTATACAAGATGCAAAACACTTCACCCAATGGCAAGATGAAAGTAAATGTGTGATGATAAGGGCTGTCGGACAGGTCGAAGTGTCGACATCAACATAAGGATGAGATAATTAATCTAAGCTCACTCTCGCTGTTTTATTTCTACAATAAATATGCCCTACTTTCACTGAGCCTTATCCCTCCCCTTCTGCACAACTTCTAACATCTTGTCTACTCCAGGCACTAGAAACGCCACTTAATCATTATGATCATATATCACAATGTTGTTTACCTACCTTAGTTACAGCATCTCCTCGCAAGATCATATTATAAAAAATAATAGGAAGTCAAACAAACTTCTCAATATCCAGAAAAGTCTTAATGATTGGATCGAATAGAAGAGTTCCTAGGTTACTCGTTTGATTTCACAAAATAACAAAATTTAGTTTTGATACTGTCCCAAGGCTCAATCTCTTTTCTACACTATGACTAGCAATAAGGGAACCAAAATTTAAGTCGTCGGCGATTTCTAACTCGAAGAGCATTGTTCAATATGATATAGAATGGTTTCTATTTTAGGATCCATTTCATGGTGTATATCATAATTGACGCCGATTCATAAACGATGAGACTATCTAAAGAATCGTCACAACACTCTTTGACAATATCAATCATACGTTTGACTTAGGGTACCACAGAAATATGATGAAAAACCGTTACTTCTAGAAGAACGAAAAGCATATTTTCATAATCTTCAATTGGTAACAACATAAGCAAAGACTCTCCAATCAGATCCTGGAATCGAAAAGCGTTTGTTCTTTTCGAGCATCTCCATTCTAATTTGTAGAGGTCTTCTTTTCTTTAAATAGATCTTCGAATGACAACAAATTAATACACAATCATAAATGGCGGAATAAATCGAATAGAGTGTTTAGAGAATAGTATTGGTGTTCATCGAACGAAGGAAATAACCAAGAACAAGGCGTTGTGACAAATAAATAATTGATTTCATGACAGTGAAAAATTGACAGAACGCATGTTCTCTAAGATAGAAAACACTTCGCTTGATGAAATTAAACGAAACTAATGTCATATTACGGTCCTTCCTCTTCTATTCACATTCTTTCTTACGTTATATTTAAATACTAGAGTTTGACTTCCATCACAAAAAAAGATGATCAAAAGAACTAAAAATACGGACAGTGTCTAACTATCATGCTTGACTCTAGTAACATATTCGACGAATTTCTCTTGATTTCATTGTACAAATCGAGGTTTAAATGAATACTATTCTTTGGATCTCTTCAAGATGGTCATTGGACTCAGAAGA